ACGGAGGCATGCCTGGTTACGGGCCTCTAACCTCTCCGAGGAAGGGAAGGCCTTAGCCGAAGACCTCCCCTTTCACGAGGAGGGCCTGTTCAACCCCAATACAGATGACAATTTGAAGCAGAAGCAAGACATTAGGCAGTCAGCCTACAAGTTTGGCTATACGTGGCAGCCGTATAACCAACCCAGGGCCAAAAGGCAACAGTCTTCGACTCCGTATCGCAAACCCTTTAATAGCTCCTCTACAGGACCCTTTAGGAATAGATTTTCGGGGACTTCCAGATATCAAGGAGCCCGCCGAACCCCTTATTTCCAAAAGGCTAGGGCGCAACCCTTCCAAGGAAAACCTAAGCTTACAGGTGCCTCCAAGAAGCGCCTTTGACGCTCCCACCACGAACTTAGGGAGGGGCCCGCCCAAACCGGCACAGACCCCGTTAGAAGAGTCCTGTTATCTGGCTCCCCTTCCACACTGTTCTACCACGTTGGACCCTGAGGTCCCAGTTGGGCCAACCCCCTTGTTCGCAGACAGGCTTGCCCCTTTCTACCCTGCATGGGCACGCATCACAACGGATGCCTGGGTACTGTCGATTGTTTCTAATGGTTATGTTATTGAATTTCAAGACATCCCTAGAGTGGGTCAATTGAAAGACACTGCTTCTTCCCCTCAGCTTATGGAGGAAGTGGAGATGCTGTTGCAGAAGGGGGCCATCTCGTTAGTGGACCCCTCATCGGTTCCGTTCTGTTTTTTCTCAAGATATTTTCTGATTATCAAACGTGGTGGTGGAATGCGCCCGATCCTTGATTTGAGAGCTTTAAATAAACATATCAAGCCAAAGAAATTTCGGATGGTGACTCTTGCTTCCATAACCCCTCTCCTTTCCAGGGGGGTTTGGTTTGCGACCATTGACCTTAGGGATGCGTACTTCCACATCTCTATTGCTCCACACCATCGTAGATTTCTCTCCTTTAGGGTAAATGGCCAAACGTATTGTTTTAACGTTCTACCTTTTGGCCTCTCCGCTGCCCCAAGGGTTTTCACAAAGTGCATAGCTGTGGTGGCCGCCCACCTTAGGACGAGGGGCGTGACAGTTTACCCGTAAATTGATGACTGGCTGATAGTGGGCAGATCCCGTTATGTGCTTCAAAAACACGTTTCCATGGTTTTGTCTCTTCTCCAGTCGCTGGGCCTTGTACTCAACCGGGAGAAGTCGGTGTTGATGCCTTCACAACGCATCCAATTCATCGGGGCTCTTCTGGACTCCACCGCCGAGAGAGCCTTTCTGCCCGAGGACCGCTTCGCCAATCTGCGCGACCTGATCAGCCTGACCATCACGGCACCCGACATGTCAGCCAAACATTTCCAAGTGCTCTTGGGGCACATGGCCTCGACCACGTCGGTCATCCGCTATTCCAGATTGCGTATACGGCTACTCCAATCTTGGTTCCTCTCCGAGTTCAACCCGCTAATGGACAACCCAGCCGTGAGACTGTCCCCGCCATTGTGGGTCTGCTCCTCGCTCCGTTGCTGGATGGATCCGGAGTGGGCTTGTGCGGGACTGCCTTTCTACGCCCCTCGCGCCACAAGAACGGTCACCACAGACTCCTCTTTGACGGGCTGGGGGGCCCATTCCCAAGGCCTGGTGGCTCACGGCGTGTGGGAAGAAGAAGAAAGCACTCTTCACATAAACGTGCTAGAGCTTCTCGCCGTCGACAGAGCCCTGAAGTCCTTCGAGAGGGTAGTCACAGGTCAGGTAGTACACATCCTCACCGACAACACCACGGTGATGTACTACCTGAACAAACAGGGAGGCACACACTCTCGCACCCTGCTGGCCCTTTCCATACAAATATGGGAATGGTGCATAGACAGGGGGATTCATCTGCTTGCGACCCATGTGCCAGGAGAATTGAATCTGTTGGCGGATTCTTTGAGTTGGAACCCRCTAACACATCACGAATGGTCCCTGAACCAGGAGGAGGTGCGGAAGCTCTTCCAAGCATGGGGGACCCCAGAGCTGGACCTTTTCGCAACTCAGTCCAACTCGAAGTGCCCKCTCTTCTGCGCAYRAGCACATGCGTCGCCTCAGGGGAGGTGTCTAGGAGACGCCTTCATCCACACCTGGAMGGACCACAGGWCTTATGCGTTCCCTCCGTTCCCGCTCCTGTTGMGGGTAGTGGCGAAGATACAGGCAGAAAACGCRCATTGCATATTAGTGACCCCGTGGTGGCCAAGGCAACCATRGTTCTCGCCGTTGCGCCTGATGGCGAGGGGAGTGTTCACCYGCCTGGCRGACAGGKCAGACCTCTTAACATCGCAGGGAGGCCGGGTGTTGTACCCAGARGTACACAGACTGAGACTCACTGCGTGGCRGATTCTCCCCAGACTGTAACTSCGTTTTCTGATTTATCCCACTCTGTACTCCGAATTATAGAAGCGGCCCATAGGCCGTCCACTAAGCGATCTTACCTTTATAAATGGTCGAGGTTTTCCTCCTATGCCAGGGGACGGGGAGTGAATCCAGACACTGCTCCCATCTCCCTAGTGCTAGATTTTCTTGTGTCATTGTTGGATGCAGGGTTATCCTACCCATTGTTAAAATGTTACTTGGCCACTATTTCGTGGTTTCGAAGGAAATTGGGCCTCCCTTCGTGTTTTTTAGATCCCCTTGTGAGGACCTTTTTAAGAGGGATTATGAATACTAGACCCCCAGTAGCTCCAGTAGCCCCTTCTTGGAGCTTGGAGTTGGTGCTTAACTCGTTGATGAAGGCCCCGTTTGAGCCTTTAGCCTCGGCCAGCTTGTTTTGCCTGTCATGGAAGACGGCCTTCTTAATAGCGATAACGTCGGCCAGGAGGGCTAGCGAACTGTGCGCTCTTAGGGCAGACCCACCGTACCTTAAATTTCACAAAGATAAGGCAGTTTTGAGAACTGACATAGCGTTCCTGCCTAAAGTGTCTACGAAGTTTCACATTTCCCAGGACCTGATACTACTCTCTTTCTTCCAGAATCCCACGACTCCCCTAGAGAAGAGTTTACATTTGCTTGACGTTCGTAGGGCCCTGGCCTTTTATGTAGACAGAAAAGCCCCACTTAGGAAGACCCCTAAGCTGTTTGTCAAATATCGTTCTGATGTCTTGGGCATGCCTGTTTCGTCTCAAAGATTGTCTTCCTGGATCGTATCTACAATTGAGTTATGCTATCGGGTGGCTGGCAAGGAGTTGCCCCGGCCCGTGAGAGGTCATTCAACAAGATCTGTCGCTACGTCTGCGGCATTTTGGAAAGGAGTTCCTCTGGATGCTATCTGCCGGGCAGCGATATGGTCTTCGCCGCTTTCCTTTGTGACACACTATAAGTTGGATGTCGTATCCAGGCGTGATGCACAATTTGGCAGAGCAGTTTTGTTTTCGGCTGTGGCATGACGCCCACCATCCACGGTTAGTAGCTCGCTAATCTACCAAATGTACGATTCACAGTGACTACGACAGGAAATTATAAGTTGCTTACCTGTAACTGTAGTTTCCTGAGTAGTCACCTGTGAATTCGTACATACCCGCCCATCCTCCCCTCGAGTACATGCCACGCCTTCTGGCTGCTTTGCGGCGGAAGAGAACTGCTGGCTAGCCCCGCCCACGGGCTACTTATACTCGGGGGGGGAGGGTGGGCGGGCCTAGCTGGGGTCTAAATTGTTATTTTACTTTCTAGAAGGTTCCGAAAGCTGTTCCACGTAAATACCAAATGTACAAATTCACAGGTGATTACTCAGGAAACTACAGTTGCAGGTAAGCAACTTATAATTATTCATACTCTGTCAAACAGGCATAACACCAAAAATGTCACATTCAGTTTTTTCAGTAGTTGAGGGTGTCATGGGAGTGTAAGGCATCTTGGTTAGTGGTTGTGTGTGTGCCTTCAAGTCACCTGTTGATACCTAGCAATCCCATTGATTTCTTAGAGTTTTCTTAGGCAAGGAGCATTCTGAGGTGGCTTGTCCTTGCTCTCCTTTAAAATATACCCTACGACTTGTGGTACCCCAAGTACTGGCCCCTATGAATTATTTGTATGACTGAACAAGTGATGAAACCCTAAAGAAGATATGGCATTTACTAGTTCTGTTCAGAAAAACAGAGGAAACTGTGGAGGAACTTCAATCACCAGAGCTATGAAGTTGGCTCTTTTCAATTGAATTAAGTAGCAGGATTTTCAATTGTGCATTGGAGCCCGTGGTTAAACCCTTGTGCCAGCAGTACTGCTGAACAAAAGGATGTTGGTTCGAATCTTTGCATTGTCAGCTCCAGCTTCTCATGTGGGGACATATGAGAAGCTTCCCATAGAATGATAAAACATCTGGGCGTCCCCTGGGCAATGTCATTGCAGATGGACAAGTCTCTCACACCAGAAGCAACTTGCAGTTTCTCAAGTCACTCATGACACAAAAAAGTTTGTGCCTATAAGAGGGAACAAAAGGATCAGTACTTTATAATGGAATTTCTTGTAGTCATTTCAATCTCTGTCATATATTTTATTTTGGGCTTTGAGGTTGCATGTAAATATTGCAATACTACTCAACGGAAAAGGCAGAAGAGTATTCTAAACATGTCCTAAGCTAGCATCTCAATAGATGTATAGAGCTTTAGGGACATGTGTTCAATTTAATATATAATTTGTTGTACTATTGCTAAAAACATAAAAGGGATTTAAATTATGATTGTGTTTGCAATAGTCAGCCATAATTAGATGCATTGGACAGGGGATTCTGGAGTTGTCATCCAAAAGGTAACATTTCTATGCTCTGGTAGTGTATGCACTGACATTCTGCTGTAGAAAGGTCCCCTGAATTTCAAAGGGAAGTTGTTGTAACATGCAGGGGCCTGCTTCTTGAAAATAAGAGGGCTTCTAGAGAACCCACAGGTGTACTTGTATGCCACTCTATAATGTGGCTTAGAGTAATACAGTAATCATTAGGCCTTCTATTAACTACAATTATATTGCTTCCTTTATTTTTAGGCTTATCAAGGAGCATGCTTGTGAGGTACGAAGCAGACAAGAAACCAAAGGCTGGATCTGACTATGATGACACAGATGAAAATGTGATTGGAAGTGTTCCTAAAATAAAAGCAACACAGAAAATGTAAAATAAATAAATAAAGCAACCCATTAGTGAATAGTGACAGAAAATGTGAGCGCCTTATAGTTACAGATAATTACAGATAATACACAAGTTTTTTTTCAGACTTCAGTGATATCACTGCATTTTTAAATAAATAATAATCCAGACTCCATGGAGTACATTGACACAAATCATTATACCCTTGGTTTTAAAGTGCAGGGATTCTTTCATACTACACAGTTAATAGCACAACATGCCACTTTAACATCCCATGGAATCCTAGGATTTGCACTTTTGGGAGTTGAATTTAGAATTTTCTGACAGAGATGCCCTTTAGTGTCCCAACAGAAGGATTCTGTAGGATGCAGCTATGGAAGTTAAAGTGGAACCATAGCATTTGAATTGTGTAGTGTGAATGGGCCCTAGTTATCTGCATTTTTTGTCTTCAAGCTTATGAAATCCTCTTTAGTTTGACACACATAGCCCTAAATTCTGTTTTAGTCTTGATGACCAATTGAGTCCCTTGGATTTATCAACATATTGAATCATTATTTAGCAATTAATTGGTCTACTTTAATTGGAATTATACAACCGGATGCCAGCTATGGTTTGTGACTGGGCCATCATGGAGGCCACAATGCTGTTGGCTCCAGTGATGTAGCTATGGCACCAAAAAGAGGATGTTTATTTATTAGTGTATTGGATTTATACCTAGGCTAACGTGGTGTTCTTTCCATTTGACTTGACGCAATAAACAGAACTATGGTTTACTATTATATATGAATGTGTTGTCTATGTAAATATATAGATGAAAAAATTGAAGTGTCAAACCTGTCTGTGATTCTGAGCACATACCTTTGGCCTTCCTTTACTCTCTGAACCACTCACTCACCTTTCCCAAATTCCAGTACTCAAATTCTAAGCCATACAGCCACACCCTGTTCATAACAGAAGCAGATTGAACTGGCAATGAAGTTTATTGCTACTTATTTAAATATTTATATCCTGCATTGTGAGATGTGAGAGTGACATGCAAGTAAAATTAATATTAGTAAATTATATATGTGTATGTGTGTGTATCACTGATGTTGAATACAGTTTAATAGGATTAAAAGGGTTAAAAAAGCTGTACAAAAACATTCGAATCAGCTAGGCAAACTAGGAGAGACTAACAACCTTTTCACACATCCAGCAGCTCTGCTCCTCTTTGCCATGAGGCATGGAGAATATGACGACCCACAACTTGCCTCACCTCGCCTCGCCTCCCCTCCCCTTCCCTTGCCCACCGAGAGGGCAATCACATGGGGAAAGTGTAGAGCACATGTGGTGTGCATGGCTTCACCCCTTAGATTTGGCAACATGGGAAGCCTCCCGTGTGTCTGGGCAGCAGCAGCATGGCACTTCCGCTCCTCTGCACCTATGGAGCCGGCACAACATTATGTGAATGGAGCCGGCCAGCTCCATAGGTGACCAGGGCTAGATTGGCATTTACCACTGAAGCTAGCCCTGTCTGAAGAGATCTTAAAGCAGTTTCCTTTTTTCGAATAAGAAGGAAAATCTATTGCCCCTTCCACTTCTGTCCCCCCCCCTGTTGAGTTGAATGCAAATTACATTTACACTTTGAATTGAAATTGCAAAAACTGAAATAAACTGATGGCAAAAGGGAAAAGTAATATTACATGTAATATTACTAATAATATTACAATATAATGGTATAGTACAATATAGTAATATATAATACTATTATACTATGCTAAATATATAGATATTGTGTATAAGCCACTCTGAGTCCCCTTCGGGGTGAGAAGGGTGGCATATAAATGTCATAAATAAATAAATAAAAGTAAGGACATGAAAGTAAAAACTGGGACATTTTAAAAACAGCTGAAAGGATGAGAAAACAGATTAATTGGGTCTGACCCTGCTAAACCAAGACACCTGGAGAGTATGTTCTTATAGTAAGGTGTTGGTGTAAAGTGAGAATTACCAATGCAACCAGTCTGATGTAATTAACCTAATTAAGTTCATTTTGACAATCATTGACATCTCGCCAATTGCCTGTATTGTTTGGCTGAATTCTGCCATTTGTGCTGTTCGATAAATGCTATATTTGCAATATCATGTGCCTAGGACCTCATCATCTGATTTTATGGCTACAGAGCCAGACCCTGAGAATATAATCATAAATAACTAACAGTCTTTCTCTACCTTCTGTTCATGTCACATAGACTTTAGATAAGGATTACCAGATATGCATTAGATATTGCTCATATGCACTTTGGACCTCTTCACGTGGGGCTAAATATCAGTTTTGGCCCTTTTGGCCGGGGCTTGACCTGAGCATTATCAGATGATGCTCAGCAGGCTCTGCCCACATTCATCCCGAAGTGGAGGGGAAACATTGGAAGGCAGAAGACACTTCCTCCTCCGCCACAGGGAGGACATTGTTTTTCTAGCACTTTATTCCTCCTTTCCCCATATGATGGGGGAAAGGGTGGCAAGACAAAGTACATTGCTGCCCTTTCTCCCATCTGATAGGGACAGGAACAGGGCACCAATGCACCCTGTCCTATCCCCATCATATGATGGGGATGATATCGAGCTGCTTTTAGGAGGGTCTCCCCAGCCGAGGAGATCCCTGAGGACTGCACCAAAGAGAGTCCTGGAACCTTGGTGAGGCCAGCAAAGCCAATTTCAGCAATAAAAATATTAAAAATAATAAATCCTCACCAAAGTGGAAGAAGTTTCAGCGACCGAGGTGTTTTATTAGCGATTCAGCTGCAATCGGATGCACTGTAGGAATAGTTCCACTACATGCATGACGCTAAAGAATTTACAGGCATTTTTATAGAGAAAATACAGCAAAACCTTTTGAATTTCCCACCCGCCCCTCTCCACCCGGCTTTGCGCTGATTGGTTAACAGCCGAACAGCTGGGAGGAGGCTTGGCGGCCCGCCTTGCTCTGGGCCAATCAGCGAGATCCTCCGCCTCTGGAGGGCCAATCAGCACGCTTCTCTCGCTTCTGAGGATGGACGAATCAGAAGCGAGAAGGCGGGACGACAGCGAATAATGGGGGAAATGATAGGATTATAGATTGCTAGCCAGCTGGAATGTGAGGCTTTGTCTTGGCTGGCAAGGTGTGATCACCGTAAACAAAGGTTTTCCTGTCCGTGATGGGTTTTGGTGGAAGAAACAAACAGGATCAGGGCAGCGGACCTCGGGGGGGATCAACGCTGCCCTTTGTAAATCAATCATAATGTCCATATCCAAATAGACTTCCTCATCTCGCTAGGCAAACTCAGAGGGCGAGAAAAGGAAATCACAAATGGCTTTTCTTTTGTCCATGCAGATGAGTCAATCAAAGGGAAGTTTCGAGGGAGGCAGGGATTCTCCCTTGAGCATTGCAACAGTACTTGGTCACTTCTTTGTGGGACAAAAGTCAAAGGGAAAAAGGGGAAACGGACAATATTTCATGCATCATTTTCCTTATACAAAGTTCATATAAAAATCCCATACCCACCCCACACCTTAATCATTTTATTAAAATATTGATTTTTATTAAAAAGAACTAGAAATCCCATGCTCCTGGGGAAAGTTCGCGGAAGCGGAGGTGGCCTGCAGCCCAGGCCAAGCAGCAGAAAGTCACTTTTTCCTGGCCAAAGTTTGCAGATGGGTGCTGAGCTGATAGAAACAAAATCCATCGTTCAGTTCTTGGGAGACTATAACTCCCTCCCAGGGACCGGGTCTCCTACCCGGCTCCTCCTCCAAAGTCTCCTGGGGGCGTTCGCAGCGAGTCCCCGGTGGTGGGTCTAAGCAGGAACGAACGGCAGCAAGGGAAATGGACTGCTTTTGCAGAGCCGGCAGAGTTTGACAATCAGCTGTTTTCTACCAAATTATATTCTTTAAAACAAAACAATTATTTCCCGGGCGGAGGGATCCAAACCGAGAAAAGCGAGATAGCAGTGAGGCTTAGAATTAGTTATAGAAAAATATAAAATTGAAACGGGGTCGATCCGCCATTTTGAGATTTTAGCGGATACGGAGGTCCAATAGGAAGGTTTCCGTATCCGCGGTTTTAACGGACGCAGATTTGGCCTCCCCAGGACGCCCAGAAGGCTTCCCAGGCGGGCCTGCGGTTGCCCAGAGCCCGGAAAGGAGTTTATTCTATGTTTGAGTTAACTTAGGCAGGGGAGAATACAAAGTATCAAGCGGAAAGTTTAAAAAGTTGCAATTTCAAGTACCCTTATTAGAGAGCAGATACAACGTCAGGGCTAGAGGGAAAGTGATGAAAGCTGAAAGCAGTCCTGGCCTTGAGCTGTTTGTTGGGGCACATTTCATCAGTTTTCTCCAATTTTGACTGCCAGGAACTGCGGAACTCTCCGCTGCAGTGCAGACCAATCACTGGGCAGGGGCCCTCGACACGAGGGAAAGGAGGAAGGGTGCATCGGGCACCACGAATCACCCCACGCACCTTCCCTTTCACCGGCCAGTATGGCATAATGGCACAGCCCTCATGGACTGTGTGAAGAGGTCATTTATCTCTTTCTTTGTAGCTCCATCGTACTAGAAATAATCAATGCTTGAAATAAACTTAAGTTATATTGATCAGGTCTCTGCGTAGGTTAGGAACTGAAACCAGTGCTGGGACTTAGATATTCCCTAGGGCAAAGTTATGTCTATTTGCCTTCCTGTCCAGTTTCAGGGCTCATCCTAGCTTCACGTCCTACCTGGGAATATATTGTGGGGTTGATATTTGAGTCCTTCCCAGCACCTCAGGACAGCAGACTAAATTTAGGGATGGAAGACACATCGGCTCTATCTGTCAACAGAGGACAATGTGTGGATGCCAGGAGTCTACCTCTGCCTCTTCTGAAACTTGTTTTATTCTGCCTAATGGAATGGCAACCCCATGCAGTTTAACCAATGTCAAAACCTTTTTTTACTATGATCAAGGCAGTTCCTCTGAGTCAGACTTGTTTGGGTTGTTGTAGGTTTTTTCGGGCTGTATGGCCATGGTCTAGAGGCATTCTCTCCTAACGTTTCACCTGCACTTTGGCAAGCATCCTCAGAAGTAGTGAGGTGTTTCAGACTTGTTTCTTTCTTGCATCTGTTTCATGTACAGGGTATGCAGGCCAGTTTTATTTTAAGGCCTTGTTTAAGCCCTCCGTTCATCCGGAGAGGCCCTGCTCACGATTCCACCTGCATCGCAGGCACGCTTAGTGGGGACGAGGGACAGGGCCTTCTCTGTGGTTGCCCCCCGACTTTGGAACACCCTCCCCAAAGTCATTAGACTAGCACCTACGTTGGCAGTCTTTAGGAAGAACTTGAAGACCTGGCTATTCCGATGTGCCTTTCCTGAATAGGATAACCTCCAGCACCACGTCCCAGAAGCATTTTATTAGAGTTTAAGACTCTCTGCACATTGCACTTGCCCAGAATCCCAACATATCACCTCTTACACCCAGCACTTTTTAACCTGTACCCTTCATTGGCCCGGCTCTGGTTTTATTGGGTAATAGTGTTATGTTTTGTTGTTGTTATTGCTTATGTTTTAATTTGCTTGCATTGTATTGCTATTGTTTGTTGTTGTTGTTGAGGCCTGGGTCTTTGTAAGCCGCATCGAGTCCTTCGGGAGATGCTAGCGGGGTACAAATAAAGTTTAATAATAATAATAATAATAATAATAATAATAATAATAAGCCTTATAGATACAAAGACATTACTGAATATCTTCTTTTCACAGTATTTTCTGTTAAAATGCTATGATTTTATTTTTGTTTATATTATAGGGCTTCTTGAACCTGACAGGTTTATTGACTCAGTATCAGCTAATCTCACCATTCAAGTGTTGGGCAACATTGGGTCAGAGCTGCAAACTCTGCAAATTCTGGGCTCCACCAAGATGTGGATAAGTCAACTGGGAAGTGAAGAAAGATGCTCAGCCAAAATTTCTAGAAATTCCACATAAGTTCTGGTTCCATGTGGGTTGTTCTAGTCTACAATCAAAATGGGATTATT